AATTCAGGTCCTAGTAGCCCCCACCTGTACTTGATGTACTTGCTGCTCTTTTCCCAGGAATAGCTCCTGACTAGTATCCCAGCATTGCTACACTTTCCTACATGCTTCAGGAAAATGCTCAGCTTCCAGGAGGAGATTCACAGGACTCTGGAGGTTGAAAACTCTATTAAGAATTCAGAAACCAAGAGCTGCAGTTCAAAGACCATACACATGAATGAAAAGGAAGGGAAAGCCAATCAAACTACTGCTAAAAAAAGATAATCATGATTATTATACCATGCCTATGTCTTTCAGCACAAAACAGAAGAGAAAGCCATCTTAACACTGCAGAGAAAATTAATTACAAAGCTTATTATTAAGGTAGCAATGCTAATGTGTTTATGTTATTATGGTGACTAGCAGAAGAAGGGTATGTTTACATACAACAGTATTAAGAAAATACTATCACTTCAGACATAACTGTAATAAAAATTAAGGAAAGAAGGAAAAAACACCTCAAAAATTATAAGCAGAACTCCCCTTCCCCATCAACCATATTGCTGAAAAGTTTTTTTCCTTGCCCCTTTGTCAAAATAAAATTAAAAAGCCACTATTTCAAATGCTGACAAACAACATTTTGTATCAACAATCCACTGTCGCAACTCAGGGTAGACTTTGTCTTCCAATGTTGTAGGATAATTCTTTTAGCCAAACTCATGTCCCCATGTTCATAATTTTTGATGTCTTGATAGATTCCAACAGCAGTGTCCACAGGATGGGATAAAACAGACAAGATGATAGTCACAGCATCAGAACTGAAGCCTTGCCTTTTTGTACATGCAGGCAATGTTCATGCATGTACAAAAGAAGTGGGCATCAATTGTGACACTGAGACTGCATCTTGCCTGCTGTGGCCCCCTTGTGGACACTGTTAGATTAATACTGGCGAGATAACAAAGGGCATATGCATCTCTAGCATGCATCAACTGAAACGGGATCATATTAACAATCTTTTTGATGTAACCCCTAAATGTACCAAAATAGAACAAGACCAAACTGTATGAGTTAAGGTTCCAACTCCTGAGCTGCATTTTCAATAGCAAAGAGATTGTAATTAGATTTTATGAAACATTCTCTGCAGTATACATCAGAAAATTCTTCATTATATTAATCTCATTTTAAGATCATAGGAAACTAACCTTATATAGCTTAGAGACTTTGTATTGGTTAACCAGGACAGGACTTCAAGCTTCCAGAGATTTCATAAATAATATTAATTTCATCTATTTCTTTCAACTTCTTTTAAAAAGGCACACTGATTTAGGAACCACAGTTAATTGCTCTATAACGACTGTGGAAACTGAGAAGCAATTATAACATCTGGACCAAATAAACCAAATAATAAATCCTCAGGTTGAATAAACTGCCACATGGGGTAAATTGAATTAATATTCAAATTTTGCATAAGTTTTGAAAATGGCTTCCTCAGTACTGAGTTGATCCAAAATAGTAAGGTTGTAAGAGATTCAGTTCACCCCAAAAATAGTTTTAGACACTACTTTTAAATTTATATTATCACATTTATTTATTTATTTATTTATTTATCCAATTTATATGGCCACCCATCTCAATGAGTGACTCTGCATGGAGAACAGAATTAAATTAAATAGAATTAAAATAAAATAAAAACAATTACAAACATTACAAAAGTTAAAATACAAAGCAGCTGAGAAATAATGTAAGCTTTTCACGGGTAAGCATCTCATAGTAACACCTGCAACTCAATATCTCCATACATACACACACACACACACACACACACACACATATATATATATATGGATACAGCTGGATAGCATAGTGGTTGGAGCACCGCCCTTTGACACAGGAGACTGGGGTTCAAATCCCAGCTGGTACTTACCTTACCAGTAGGGGTCCTTGGGCAAAGACCCCCTAATGCATTCACTATGAGAATGACACAAACTGAGAGAGTCATGCCGGCTTGGACATTGCCCAGATTAACAAGATGCTGGGAAACCACAACAATCTAACAATTAGTGGAGCAAACCATAGATGGACAAGACAAGAGAATATATGAAACATATGAGGAACTATGTATGGACAGAAGATCTACATCCACACTAACTGTGAAACAGCTAGTTACCCAACGTTTCAACATAGTGAAGAGGAAGCTACTCTCACAACTTGAGATAGTCCAACTACACATTACATCCCGGACTCAAAAAGACCCAGAAGAACAACTGGATGTGCAGCCAACACTTGAAGCTGGAATGTCACTGCAGCCCCCTCCATTACAGAGCACAGTAGTTGATATGAGGCATAAGATCATAGATGAACTAGCTACTGTCAACCCTTGAGACCAATTACCAAGGCTCAGTGGAGAAGTACCATCAGATAGTATGCCAGAGGATGCTAACAGAGGTCTCATGACAATCCCTACTACCACCATAACTCAAACCAATCAACTGGTATACGCTACAGCAGCTATAATCCTGGAGATGCTTGGCTACATGATCAAAAAGAATACCAGTACATGCCCCCACCCCAAGAAAATGAGGTTGGAGGCTAAGATCAAGGCAACTCACAGAGAAGTTAGTCAGTTGTTGGAACTACAGAAGGGTGTAGACATTAAGGATAAGACTTGGCTACTGAAAAAATACAAGGGCCTGACTCCTTCTGAAGCCCTAGAGACTGCTAAACAAAGGCTCACAGCACTGGCTGCCAGGTTAAGGAGATATACTAGAGAAGCAAATGCCAAGAAGATAAATGCTCTGTTCTCCAAAGAACCATCCAAGGTGTACTCCCAACCACAGTGCAACAACACAGTAACAGCAGAGCCACCAACAGCAGAAACTGAACAGTACTGGAAGAACTTATGGGAGAAAGAGAAGACACACAATACCAGTGGAAAGTGGCTGCAGGACCTGAGAGGAGACCACAGCAATCTTCCAGAACAAGAACCATCACCATCACAGTAGCAGACATCCAACAGCTGGTCAAGAGCACCTGGCCCAGACATGATCCACACCTACTGGCTAAAGAAACTAACAGCAGTGCATGAATGCCTAGCAGCACAGATGAATCAGCTGCTAAGAGCAGGCTCCCACCCAGACTGGCAAACACAAGGAAGGACAATGCTGACCACAAACAACCCACAAGGGAACTACCAGCCAATAATCTGCCTCCCCACAACATGGAAAGTCTTATCAGGCATCGTAGCCAAGCGATAGGACCATATGGGCCAGTACATGAGCACAGCTCAGAAGGGCATTGGGAAGAACACCAGAGGTTCAAAACACCAGTTGCTCATAGACAGAGCAGTCACCCAAGACTCAAAGTCTAGCCAGACCAATCTGAGCACAGCCTGGATTGACTACAGGAAAGCCTACAACTCAGTGCCGCACACATGGATCTGTGAATGCCTGGCACTATACAAAGTCAACAGGACACTAAGGACCTTCTTCAAGAACTCAGTGGGACTGTGGAGGACAACACTGAAAGTCAACTCAAGACAGCTCGCACAAGTGGCCATCAAGTGCAGCATATACCAAGGTGATGCACCGTCCCTGCTGCTGTTCTTCATAGGCTTGAACCCCCTCAGCCATATAATCACATGGACTGGATACAGATACAAGTTCAAAAGCAGAGCTATCAGCAGCCACCTCCTCTACATGGATGACATCAAGCTGTATGCTAAGAGTGAATGGGACATCAACTCACTGATCCGCCTGACACAGATCCACAGTAAGGACATTGGGATGTCATTCAGACTGGAGAAGTATGGCCGGATGGTAGTAAAAAGAGGGAAGGTAATTAAGACTGATGGGGTGAAACTACCAAGGTGCTACATAGTAATTAAGACAT